AAGAAATGTACACGCAAGAATGATATCGTACTTAAGTAGAAAAGTTTCGTTTATCGTCGGCGAAGGCGATTATGCGCAGCGTGCGCATCTGTGTCACGCGCGCGAACACCTGCTCTTCCCGAAGAGCGCCGTATTTCTATAATTTCCTTTTTATCATGCCTAAGACAATATATCTTCCGTCCTGTAAATCCCGTGTCGCGTAATTCCGTCGCCGGTACACACGGTCGAGTTTAACGGTGAAGTCGGACGATTCGATATCACACGTATAGTTGCGTAAAGCTTAATCCGCGTCTGTCATACATGTTCCGCAGGCTCGCAGATGACGATTTAGATCGGCTGTGTCCGGTTTTAAAGCGTCGTCGTGCTCTCGACACTCGATTCCACATCGCGTCAACAACGCAATGCGACATTGTATCGCGCGCCCGGGGTTTGATATCACCATTACGTTTCCGACGATGCTACTTTTGTGAATCGATGGATGCACACAAACGCGCGGCAGCACAGATGGATTACGTATGCAGAAAGCACGGCGACCTCCGTCCGTGTTTTACACCTCTCGCCAAATGTGCGCGTTTCGCGTTGTTCCGTTTATATTCACGTACGCTCTTTCGCAATTTTATTTCGCATTTCGCTGCAATTGAAAGCTCAAAAGAATCTCCTGCATTTTTCCAGAAAAATATAAATTATTATATACATAATAAATTATGCAGGAACTATATAATTCACAATATTCTGATGTACTATATTTCTTAAGCATCTACATTTTTTACCGGCTCTAATGGATCTTGCATTGGCTGGCATCGCGTCAAATTGGATTTCTTTCAGCGGCAGCTGCAGTTGCATGATCTGAGTGCTTTTTCTTTAAAGGAAACTGCACATAACAGAAAGGAAGGATCGCACTCTGTAATTCTTTTTCCTTTTTTTTATTAACGAGAAAAAGGATAGCGTTGAAATCGAGCCCATCTTGCCAATCAAGTATATTCTCTTTTTCAAAATTCTTTTCTACTTTATTCGCACTTAAAATTTTCTTTTTAAATTCTTAATCACTTGTATGGAAGTGTAAGTGCATATGTATGACCGCAGTGCACGAGCTCAGGCCCGTGGGTTTGCTAAGCCCAAATGACTATGCGGTTCAGCTATCTTTGTAGGTTCTCTGCAATTTTGATGCTTATATGTGCATGCTGCAATCTGACGGAAGTGCATGGAACTTATTGTACTTGTTGTCTGTTCAATGATCTTTAAGCTTTAAAGCTGTTTGATTGTAAAAGGATACGTTAATTCGACACGGCAATTTACGCTACATAAAACAGTCGTGCGTTAAAATTTCGAAAGTTATTGCACAACCATTATTGTATTTTCTGTGAAAATTGTGTAAAGTTACGTTTAATTACTAACATGTTAATTACGTAACCTTTTGATAATTATCCGTATGAGAACAAGTATGAAATGTTAAACCGGCTATCATGTTTTCGCATTTAATAAACAAAATCCGACGTAGCTTCACAGTTCGCGTTTTGCAAAGGAAAACTTTCTAGATCACTCAAATAAAAAGCAATCTAAAAGCGTTATTTGTTAAAATTTAAAATATAAGACGCTAAGCATATCGTTTCAGTTGAATTTACTGGTAATTTTCTCATGTTTTGCCTCTTTACGCTGAACTTAGTGTGCCATATATTACATGATTCACCGGATTTTCTTTACATTCCCTTTATTTAACGTCTCTGTTATCTTCAGTCTAGCTCTCTCGTTTTCTGGTCGGCGCATTAAATGATTACATTCAGCAATTAACGCAACACGGGAGTGACTCATGTGTAGCGTAACTTCGTGCTTAGCGAAGCAACCGATATAAAAGAAGTGTCGTTTTTATAAAATCCCGCGTACGTCAATGTGTCAAAACGAACGTGTGTTCGCTGCTCGTCAAACTTTGTTAAACTTTGTTACACGATTATCAGCGATAAATCTTAAATCAGAGAAATAAAAGCTCTATCTTTGCTGTTGCGACCGGCGTTGAATTTTCACGGCAGAACTCGACACACAGCGGTCGGATTCTCTTGAACATTTATTAAGTTATATCTTGGGCGCTTCATCACGCTGTTAGTATACGAAGAAAAGTTGTGTAAAGCACTTACAAGAAAACATCTTCTAGTGAATAAACGTGGGGTAAACTACACAATTATCGGTCATTTATATCTGGTTTCAGTCGTGGAATAATCATTAAATGCAATGCATGACTGCATGATTGTATTTTTCTTATTGCTAATTTTGTACAACAATAAAATAACAACAAAATTTGTAAATAGTTGAGATTCGTTTCGATTGCAAATAATGAAAAAGATGCAGCGACTGATTAACTTATTCATTGCATCGATAAATTCTGTAACTTGCCGATAAATAGAAAAGTTTATAAAAAATGTAGCCCGCTAAGAAATATGTAAAAGACAACTAAATTTAAAAAAAGATGATAAATAACTTTGTAAAGCTAAAAATTTCTAATCTTTAAAACTATCAAATTATTTAAAATGTTTAACATTTTTTTCATCTTTTATTTATTTTACTTGATTTTTAAATATATTTTTGAAATAATTTTTTTGAAGATTAGGAATTCAATTTTGCAGAGTTAATCCCGCTCGTTTACTTTTAATCAATCTTTTTCCCGGTGAAATCCGAGAACAAATGCATTGTATTATACACGCGCTCTACATCACAGAAGTCGATTATACCCTTTCTCTCCTTTTTTTAAAATCATATAGGTCACGCCTCGATAGTGGAGCTAGAGCACTCGTGATGACGGGGGTATAGATTGTGAAGCACGGACGACTCTCCAGTTCGAACATTTGTCGATTCGCTTGACGCGCGTGTACGAGGCAGACGCGTGTAAAATAAATAAAAAAAAGCGCGGTTTTGAAATACTAAAATCGGCTTTGCAGTAAATTCGATGGCGTTTGAGATCTAACGGATATATCGAGAACACGCTCTCTCGACCGTAATTGCTCCGCATTGAAATTGGATATCACGACGAGACTTGACACTGCGTGCTTGAAACGCGCTCGTGCTTGTGTGCAATGTGTAACTCTTAAACCGTTTACAAATAAAAGTTGTACATTGAATATTCAGTTAAAACACGTGTTGCAAATTATGTGAATTCTAAGGTTATTTTAATTAAAATGTAAATAATAATATTATTTTAATTAATTTTAATTTCTACGATCGTTGTGTAAACAAAGTTTGTATTAATTATTTACGTTACAATTTAAAGAAAAACGTTTAATCATTACATACGTCATTTTGATGCCGACTCTATGAAAACATGAGTAACTATCTTGCATTACTCTCTTTAAGGAGAGGCAGACTTTTTAGTCAGACATAGCAAGCTAAAGAAGAATGCGCGCGCGCGCGAGTTACGTTAGTAACTGATTCACTTTTCAGTCATATTTTCCTTCAGTTTTCTCTTTTTGTAACAACTTTGACATCTTGTAAAAGAATGTTAACTTGGTATTTAAAATTGCGAACGTATATCCTTTGTGGAATATCGCTGCTCGTTATTCTCTAATTTTCTTTCTAATTTTTATGGGGTTATTCCATAAATATTAATTAAAAACAACCGGAGGTTTAAGAGGAATCTCTAGTTAAAAGGAAAATAAATCTCAATTGACTTTAATTAATATTTATAAGAATAGGTCATAGATACAATTCGGCTGGCTTATAGATCAATTGACATTTAAATGCAACATGTACTTAAAACCGCTCCAGTGTTCAAATGAACCGTATTACATATTCAGTGGCTGAAATTTGAAATACAAGAGCGGTTGAATCGCATGGGATCGCGCGGCGGTCATTCATCGTTAAAAGGACGCACGTATAATTGCTCGGAAATTATAAAGACGGCCGTGCAGAGTAATCGAGAGAACGTAAAAGCCGAAAGGATATTCTCATTCGTGTTATAGAGAAAAGAAGATAGAGTTTTCTGTCAAATCAAAAGCATCATAATAGAATTCGCCAAAAGTGTGTAACAATGTATTATAAAAGATGCAAAGAAATATCTTCGTTAAAAAAAAAAAAAAAAAAAAAATTGATTGCGTCGCGTTATATGCATACGCTCTAGTTATCGCAAGTGAAGATTTCCATGCATGTTTTTTTTACTATAAATATTGATCCAATCCACATTGGACGAGCCATAAACTCGGCTATTCCACGAGACGTGTGCTTATCTTTCGGCTTGGCTTCCAAGTTCATTGATCGTGGTGAGAGGGATTTTGAACGGCGCCGAGATGGAAATAAAACTATGTGCGAAAAGCAGGATGGAGAGAGATACAGCGAGAGAAAAGCATCGCGAAATGGGTTGATCGTAAGCGCCAGCAAAAAGCGATAAGTCGCGTCACGGCGTGCTCTCCTCGCAGATCATATTTAAATCATTTTCTGTTACAGCCTGCGGCAAATATTGTTTTTAATTTTACATACCCGAGAAATGAATTATGAATCATGAATAACAAGTTTCATACTTCTTTGCGGGAGTTGTGCGAATAAATATTGTAAGTCTAAAGCGAAAACTCATGTTCGTAATTTTCTTTCATCTAAACCTATCAAGATTCTCCGCCGATTCATTTCTGGAACGTCTATTTTTAACATCATCCGATAGCTCGATTGTTCCGGCAAACAGCCGAAGATGTAATGCAAAACGACACGCGATGTCACCCATCAGTCACCTCATCGAGAGCATCCGCAAATTGATAGCAATGTGGCAACAGATTTTATGTGTCGTTTTGGCCATCCGCTGTCCGCCGAGCTCCTTAATTAGTCGTCTTCATCATTAATCAGCCGACACGGCGGTACGAGTGTACAAGCATGTAGCGAACTAGCGGGAGAAGGAGAAGAAGGCGGGGGAAGACGGAAGAAAGACAGAGACAAAGAGAGAGAAAGCAGCACGTTTGCAGGGGTGAGTGAAGTGTATAGTCGTGGAAGCGAGCGCGCGGCGCAGTCAGCGAAACAGCAGAATACCGCACCTGATCAATTAAGCTGCTAATCGCGCCCAAATCACTGGTTCACTATCGCCACTATCATCCATCGGATGTGTCCTCCACTATCTCGCGTACCGAGAATCCGACTGCGTGTCCTGCTCGTCCTCCGGCATCGTCCTCCTCGTTCCTTGCGGCTTAGTCCTTCTGCTTTAGGATCTCTCCTCGCCTCGACGTCAACTGGACAGCGGTGGAATGTGTGAGAAACCGACAAGTCAGGATGCGACAGACCAGTTTGACCTTTTACCGGGGACTGTCAGTGTCGAGGCGGCGGCGGCGGCGGTGGCAACGACGAGCACGAGCGCGACGACGACAAGCTCGCGAGCTTGCGCGATCCTCGCACCTCGCACGACTGACCGAGGCCTGGAATCGGGGCTTGCCTGCCACCCTTGCCTCTGCCATGAAGAGCGGCGCCACGAGCGCGGAGAAACTACCCCTTTTGGATTCGGATTTGCTTCGTGGAGCGGCGGAGGCGCGGGGCGAGGATGAGGACTGCGCCGCATCGCAGGATGACGATATATCGGGTGGCGCAGAGCATGAGAAAGCTCCTCCGTTCAATCGCACGCGCCCTTAGCACCCGCCGAGAGACTCTTGCGCGTTTTCGGCGCGCCCAACGTGTTAAAAATAATGCCAACTGTCAATAGGTTGATGCTTGACGCTTAATATTTAACGCGTGACATTTCCACCCGACACTTCTGCCAATAGCGCTTTCTTGCGTCAATAGCGTCTTTCTTTCTCATCTAACGTTCGAGAGAGATTCCTCGCGACTTCCCCGTTTCTTTTTTTTTTTCATGTTACTTTTGCAACTCCTATCGGACATAAATGTCATGTAATAAATGTCAGATATAAACATAACTTAAAAAGCAATTATTAAATTGTCATAAAATATTGTAATAAATAAGGCGAGATTGTGTAGAGGTTTCTTTAGGTCTCTTAGGTCGGATGAATAATTTCCGTCTTATCTTGCGTTCGATGTGTGTTTGTTCTTTTATATGTTTTTTCGATTTGCGTTCAATCTATTATTTGTATGCTAATGGAATTGCTATCGGACCTTATCCATCTTACTGCGGATTTCCTTACCCTACATTCTCTTTCCCCACCCCATAGCGGCGGACTCATGATTTCTTTTTCTCATGTCTTTCTTTGTAGGGCAACCACCTGTAACTCCTTTGAAACAGGCGTTCCAAGCTGCACGCATTCCCGTCCTCCTTCAACTACGTTTAACTCAATTCTGGTGCATCCTTTTGCGCCATTTCACATCCTTTAAATCTATCTATATTCTTGTAAAATAATCCACAGAAAGAAATCTATCTTTTCTTGGTTTTTAAACGTTTAATTAATTTTTTGATTGAATATTAAAAAACAGTATACGTAGAATTAACGAAATTCGCTATATTCGTTTTATTGCATTTTACTATCAAAAAAATTAACTTCTACTGTGCTTCCTAAGAATTTTTTATTTAAGAAATTAAATGCTAAATTTAAAGATAATTAATTTAAAAAAAAATATTTTTAATAATTTTTTAATAAGTTATAATTTCAATAATTTATACAAATTCAACGTTTTCTGTACAAAATGATAAATAAGTGTGAAAAAATACTTCTTGTTTTTTCAAGTTTACGAGAAAAAAAAGTGCTGCAATAAGTTTATTAAAAATTAAATAGATATCTCGATGAAGACATGAATCTTTTTATTTATATTGAAATAATACAAAAAGCACGAGAAATGTATCAACGGTCGAATAAATAATTCAACGAAAGATAGATGCTCCATGTTATTCGCTATCCATAAAATAGAAAGTGACATTTTTATCGACACCTGAGAAAATGGAAAATGCGAAAACTTGACAGGAAATGAAGAGAACGCGTGATGTAGCAACGATGCAATTTACAGTCGTATATTGATAAACAAGATCCATAAAGCCAGACATCTCTAATGCGATTTATTCAACAAACAATGGAGCGGTAAAGCGTAGAGTTATAGATAATCAATTGCATAGCAATTTCGAAATAATAAGAAATTTCTATCAAAACAATCACTAACTGACTGCAAAACGTTTTTTATATCTTAAAAAAGACTTTCTATTTTAAAAATATTTTAATCTTCTATGACAAATTTAAGAAAACAGTCCTAATTTTTTCACTTTGATCTGATTCGTTTATTATTTTTTTTATGCTTTACTGCAATCTTCCCTTTTTTGTAACTATTTTATATTTATACTATTTTTTTCATATTATAGTTAGAAATAAAAATTTCTTAACACCTACAATGAGCTATACTTTTACTGCGAAATAAAGTCGAGTGTCTCAATTACATGCAAATGTGGGTAAGTTCTTAAATATTCACGCGGAGATCCCTGCTTAACATTCCTTTCACATTTTCTCTTTCACATCATCTCGTACATCTCGTATTTTCGTAGCTTCTTTTGTCTCTTAAAGTTTTGCGCTACATCTTTATGAATTTAACAATGAATTTAATGGTGTTGATAGAAAATCTTTATGCTTTTACAAAAGCAAAGAATAATAGTTTCGCGTTTTATCATTTTGCCTTATGTAAATAAATGTAATAAAAACTTGCGTTTTTCAAACTTTCAACGCGTATAGTTCAATGAGCGTTCCTCACATTATTCTGTCGATGCTAATGACGCAAAAGCGTTTTAAGCTGTTAACCTTTCAATCGCTGTACACAAAGTACGTAGTTTGGGGTGTAATTTTTAAATATTATAGGTCATAGCCAAGAGGGAATTTAGACCTCCGATATTACAAAAAAATAACATGACACATAATATAATAATCACTGTTGTTGATGAAAACATATTGCGAAACCTCCGGAAATTTATCATTATATATTATACGCTTGGAGAATGATTCATATAAGTTAACAAAGATGCAGCTGGTCTGTCGGCCATCGTTGACAGAAAAATCTGATCAAATGATAAGGCGTCTATGATAAAAGCTGAATATCAGCAGAATATGTTGGCGGATTGACACTTGACATTTCCCTCTGTTTGCGCACGTACGTACGTGTGTCTTATATTTCCCTCCTTTCTTATTTCCCTCCCTTTTCATTTCCGTTTGTGTTTTTCACTTATAACCAACATTGTATATATACATGCACACACACATACACACACACTCTCTCATTTTCCGTTTTCTTTTTACTTTATCCGGTCCCTCTATGTCAACTTTTATCTGCTACCTCGACCATGTCTCCATTTGGTTCCTCCGTTTCTACTTCACCCTTTATCCCTTGATACCACCCTGCCGCCCACTCTGCTCTTTCTTCCTTTACTCTCCGATACCTCTCGTTCTCTCTCAGTTCCTCTCTCTCTCCCGCTCCCTTCTCTATCTCCCCAAGAGCGTATCTGGCTAAACCAGTTGGAGAGGTTCAGTCGTTGACGCGCCGTGAAACCAGTAACAGTATATGAGTTCAATATCAACTTCCAAAAAAAATACTAGAAAAGCTTTTTCAAATTGCGACAGTCACATTTCTCATGGCTGGCATATTCGCCGTGATTAACAACCGAACAATAGCTTCGACCGCGCACGGTCCAATTTAACGTAACAATATAGACGGTGAGGTTTGAAATCGATATTTCGTAAACAGTGCTGAAACTTGCAAAAGATAAACAATTGAACCGCCCGATTGCATTATCAAGCCGGGCTGATCGCGTCGCCGGTACTTCTACTAAACCGGGCGTACCGCCCGGTTTTTCTACTAAATCTGTCTGACTACGAAGAAGATCCTCTACTTAACGTCACGGTATATCGCCACACATTCTTGCGTTTCACGTTTCATTCTAAAGGTGAGAAAGTTGTTATAATGATATTAATCTCTCGTGTCATTCTATTTTGATATAGATTTTTATTTTTATTTTTGCAGACTAAAAACAATTGTACTTTTTTCTGTTTAATAATAATGCAATATAGTAATATGTTTCTAAATTTGCATATTATCATGCTGTTTCTTCAATAGATTATTAAAAAAAATGTCATTTGTGTAAATAGATTATTGGCAGCAGAGATTATATCATTAAGTCATAAATTTCTAAACTATCTTGCGCATTATTGCAATTTTGCAAATAAATATCGCAAGTGTTCTATTTATCCTGTTCAATTTGCAAGCAATGCGATGGTCAAGCAAACCAATAATATCGCTAAATTGCAAATCGATAACTGCAAATTTATTGAAAAGCCAGTTGATGGAAAGATATTTCAATAACGCGAGTGTATTGGGAAAATTTTTGCAACTATAGATAGCACATCGTTATTCGCTCTTATCAAGAGTCCAAGATAAACAAGTCATTTATAACATCCACGAAAGCGGGCGTATCCAGGATCGATAAAAAAACATTCAAATTTGCACTTTTCTTTTTTGAGATTGTAATCCGTTTTAGATGTTTGTAATTATCAAATTAATATTTACACAATATATTGATAAAATGCATATATCGTTATTAAATCTTTCATGTTTACAGAATGCTCTCATAAAATTGTACGATATTAAACATTTTATGATTATTTAATGTTATTACAGCTGAATGACTTTTATGTGTTATATATTTTATTTTTTCTGAAAAATGATATTTTTCTCAACAATTTCGTAAAAACAAAACGACAGAATGATAAAATAGCGTGTTATTATAGTGAAGAAAATTGCAATTACTAATTTACACTAAAAATTTCAAATCTAAAGTATCAATTTACGAGATTTCTCGAAAAAAGAAATTGGAAAAAGAAAACGTCAGAATTTGTTACAATGATATATTACCAAGTGGCTGTCACTTACACAGGCCATTTATTTTTCTCACAGATAGAAAAATAAAAAGATACAATTTTTCTTCCGGCCATCGTATTCTCAATTTACGATTACTATTTTTAGGAACTACGTGATTTGTTGTTAGAGATTATATAATTTTGAAATAAATAAGCTTGATAAATGCACACACGAACAATTGCACACGAAGTGTGTTGCGAATTGGAGTTCTAAGATAATTATATATTTTCGTAAAAAGACGAAATTTAAATATTTAATAATTGTAAATATTTTGTACAGCTCAGCTGCAAAAATATGAAATGCATAAGTAAATTGCATTTTTCAATTGCAAAGACTGATGGGTCAAGAATGAGGTAAAACGAAACAATTTCTCGTTTCGCATTGTGATGATGACATATCCGGAATTAACCTGACGGAAAAACAGAGGAAATAAACATTTGCAAGGCGAAAAGCCTTGCACATCAGTGGGAATTCACAATTCTCCAAGAGTAAGATAAACGAGTCTTTAAATTACGATACAACACGTAATTTCTTGCACAAATTTGCAAGACGTTACGGTCAATGAATATTTAAAGCATTAAAATGACAATACGTTGGACATAATCGGATTTATTATTGTCCTCTACTTTGGTATATAGCCGAGAATATCCGGGGGTTGCATTGCACTGGATGCCCGGTATTGTGCAAAAACACGATGTCATTGTATGGAATGCGCGCGTGTGCATTACACGTGGAACGATAAAATTTTATTAGGGAATACCACGCTAAAATTACGTCTTCAAAGCGCACGCTCTCATTATATTATCTTTGCATTAATAATAATTTCTTAATAAGTACTTTTCAAGAATAATATTACAACTTCAAAATTTTCTGAACAAGATATTCAAATGCAATATAAACAAATCTCAGTTCTGTTGTTAAAATGCCAGAACGGTATAATTGCTTATGCGATGACCTTTCAACGTCACGTAGAACGTAAGCATTTCTGAGGGTGAGTTATTAAGTATAATTCCCGTGTTAATTCGCTTCAAGGACCTACGCGAACTTAATGACATGATTTCGAGCAAGCGGGAATAAAACCCGACGACAGATAATTATTCTAATAGAATTAATTAGTGCCAACAGATTTTCTCGTAATTGCACGTAATAAATTACTTGACTTTTTATTCTTTTTACCTTTTTTATCCCTTTTTTTTATTGTTCGCGCATTCTTACAAATATCCTTGTAATTACGAGATGAAATTATATTCCAGTAATTCGTTAAATCGAAATAATAAAAAAGATATTTATAATGTCTAAAAAATTCAAATAAAATAAATACAGAAAAATTGTAAAATTAGAAGAACTTAATATTAACACAAATAATAAATATAGAATGTTATATTAATCGATATCTACCATATTTATCTGCCATATCGAATAATTGTAGCTGACGCGTTTATAGGTCTCTTGGTATGATGTCGTGCATTATTATCTCCTCAGACATTGTAGACGACGGATCGATCATTAGATTTAATGGCCGTGTAATACTTCCGGATATTGTAGTATTGTCTTCCGGATATGAAATATTAATTACTTTAGCAATTCTAGAACAATTTGCTTCGGTATTATCAATAATTAATATTGACAATCGTTTAAACATTTTTCAGAAATGGATATAGTAACCAATCTTCTTCTAACCAATCTGCTTCGGTATTATCAATAATTAATGTTGACAATCGTTTAAACATTTTTATAGAAATGGATATAGTAACCAATCTTCTTCTATCTTTTCTTTCCATTTTCTATTGTTTTAATTTTATAAAATATTTTGTAAGAAAAGCACGATTTTTAACTCAAATTGAAACTATACAAACAGTAAAGTTTTGTATTTTATTATTGCTTCTTTGTCGTTTCCTATTTCAAACTATCTTATTCAGTGCTTTACTTTTATTATCGTTCTTTTACATTTTAACGTTTATCATAATTACTTTTTTAATTAGAATTCAAGTGTTAGCGTGCATAACTATAAATTCTCAAATAATAACAAAATTTCCAGTAAGGATAATTTGAAATAAAATATACTGTATTTTTTTCGGACAAAACATATGTTTCTAAAAAAAGATTTACGAAATTTGTTTTATTCATCTTTGATTTTTGTTGTACGTATAAAAAAGGTTTATCTTCTAGCTTCCTCTACTAATCTCTTTCACATGAAATGGCTTTTGGTTAATAGTTGTATAGTTGGCGAGAAAATAACTTAGATTGCAAAAGGACTATCCTGGAATTTAAATTTCCATGCGATTGTACTATTTTCATCATTGTCGTCAGCGAATAATCCAAGATAATCGCGATTTGCGCTTTCTCGCTCGCTACAACGTAGTTGTTTACGCAAAGGCTTACTCATTATTATTCAAGAATCGCAATCCACGATGTGCCACTCACGCCCACAACGTGCCTGTTGCCAAGGCTCCGCGAAATTCACGTAAATCGATGAAAGATGTACCGTAATAAATGTACTGTCTGCATAATCTTGACGGGAAACTATTTCTCGAATTTAAATAAAATTACGCGCCATTATTTCGTTGAATTTAACAACAAAGATTATTTTTTTGTACGTTTCGAATTCTTTCATTAACGCGTGAATAGGAACTCATTCCCGTTTGATAATAAGTCTAGAATTGTATTTCTTTTACTGAGAAAAGATCTCGTAAAATCGCTAAATATCCATGTGTTAAATTACATTTTAATTGCTAATTGAGTTTTTTTTATCATGACACAGAAATCCTTTTCTCTTCTTCAATCAGATGCAGGACGGTGTATTCGTTTAAAGATTCCAAGGATCACGCTACGTAAAAAATTTCATATGTATTGACTTTATAAATACTTTATATAATCCGATAAAATATTCATAGATTCATGTACTCTTTACTCATCCCGCTTGTGCATCAGCGCAAAGCGGGACTAGCAGCTGCAAATTCTGAAATGGGCTTCATAATTGTGTTATTAATGGGTTTTACGAGTTTCTAATGGAGCAACGTGCGCATTTGATCGGTACAGCTGATGCGATTACGTTGTCGCGCTTCTTCGACTATAAACTGCGCTAATAGCTCTGCGTGATACGGTAATTTCCAACTAAAATCCGAAATGTAAATTATACCCATAAGGCATACATACTGGAAACACAGAGACGCGCAAGATGCATTGCACCGCATGCGATTAAATGTCGGTTTAACGATCTCTGGTTGCGTCGACTATCAAACAACTACGAGCTGACAGAACTGACGCACGTATGCTTAAGCAAATAGTCCTTTCGAAAGCATACATTGTGTTCAATAATTTCTCTTAGGAATACCCTTCTCAAGGGAATCCGTCATATTTTCAAAGGCAGCACAAAAACTGAATAAATCACAGAAAACACAGAAAAATGTGTTGAGAGCTTTTGAAAAAAAATATATATTGTACGAGTTTTTTATATCTTCAGAAAACCCCTTGAATAATATATTTTTTTTCTTAAAACGTGAAATGACAAAACGAACTGAGATCGATCTCGCTACCTTCTCTCAAGTTTTCATCGCGAACGACTTCGGAAAAAGATATTAAGCTCGTCACGTTATTTATATTCAACGTATCTTGTGTTTGACGCAGTAATGACATAACTTTAAAGTTCTTAAGTATGTATCTTGTCGATACCCTGTCATGCATATATTATGTACAATTTAAGCGGAATTTTACTAAAGAATATATAGAAACGCTAAGTCTGCGCTTCTAGATCAAACTTTAAATAAATTTAATGTCTTAAATAGCATTACGATTTTTAATCCGATAACATATTCGTTCTAAAAAAATTTCTTATGACGTATTATTATGTCTCTGATAAAAAAAAAAAAAAAAAAA